AGGAGCGTGATGCCGGGGCCGGGGCTGTGCGCAGCCGGGGCCGGCCCGAGGCGCTGCTGGACCTTAGCGCCAAGCGAGTGGCGGAGAGCTGGGCCTTCGAGCAGGTGACCAAGGAGGAGGGGGGAGGGTCGCACCCCCAGCCCCCTCTCTGACATGCCTTCTCCTCCCGCTACCGGCCCCCAGCCTCCGGACCTGCCGCCATCAGAAATGCCCTCCAAGATCCTCAATCCTGCCCCGGGGCAGCCCCTTATACTCCCGTTTCACTCCTTCAAACCCCATGACCCACCTTCATCCCTTCTCCGCCAGCGGTGCCCTCCAGCTCAGAAGACCCAGGGATGCCCTCAGCACCCCAGATCCCAACTCTTGACACTTCCTTCTCCTCCCCATGGTCCTCTCACAACCTTGAGTATCCCTCTCCCCACCTCATCCTCATCCCCAAATTACGGCACCCCATTCAATCCTCACTCCTCTCTCCAACTCCTACAAGGCCCTCTCATTGCTCCTGAAGACCCTCCCTCCCCTGTTCCTGTCCTCCAGATCTCTTCCCTATACCCCCAATGGAGGACTCCCCCATTTCCAGACATCTCAGTCTAAGACACCTTTTTATACTCTGCTAGCCTCCAGAACCCACCTGTCCCATGAGGAGCCCCCTCCCCAGATCTTTCCCTCAGGCCTGGTCTCCCACTCCCACCCCCAGAACTCCTGAGACCACCTCCCCCTGGGGCTACGAGCCCCTCCTGGCCGGCTGCAGGGATTACTCCAGTTTCAGGGTCCCCACCCAGATCCCCCACTACTCACCCTTCTCTCTCCCCACCCTAGCCATCCCCGTCCTTCAAGAGGTGGGCAGCAGGATTGGGGTCTGGGTCTTGATGATGCCTAAACGAGTGCACCTGGAACCCCACCTCTGTGGCTTCTGAGGGTTCTGCCAGGATGCCCCAGTGCTGGGGCCCTGTGCTTCCCCTTTCCCAGCCTCCGTATGGGTGCCCAAGCACCTGAAGATGTGGCCCACACCTGACCAAGCCTTCTGAGCCCTCAGTGGCTCTGCCCAGTTTTAGGGGGCTGTTCTTTGCCACTGGCCTCTCCACAGTTAGGAAGCTTGCTGAAACTGATGGGTCTGGGCCAAGTGTAGATGGAGCAGGCTCTGATTCAGGGCCTGGAAAATCCCTCCTTAGTCATCTGCCAACTGTCCCCGAGGCCTGGGCCAGTCACTGGCCCTCCCACTTCCCCCTGAAACCCTGGGCTCTAGAGGGTCCCTCCCTGTCCCTTCATTGTGTGCGAGATGCCCAGAATGATCTTTAAACCATCTCCGGGGCTCCCACGTACCAGCCCTGGCCAGGCCGGGCACTAGGAAAGGTCTTGCCCCATAGAAGCTCATAGAATTTTTTGCAACCCTTTGGAAGTGGTGGTTCTCCTTCCCACTCTGAGGAAACTGGGGCACAGAGACGTTGAGAAACTTGCCCAAAGTCACCCAGCCAGTGAGTAGCAAGCACAGATGAAACACAAGCTCAACCAGATCAGTTCATTGCCCAGAGCTCATGGGGGTGGCCGGGATCCCGCTCCCTTCCTGAGTACCCTTGGACGCTGGGAAGAATCTCTCTTGGCAGTTGGAGCTCACCAGTTCTAGGACCCTGAACAAGTGAATTGAAGCCACGTCTGAGCTTCACATTCCTCAGGCTGCAAAATGGGGTAATGAGTATCACTAGGATTTTGTGAGAATTAAAGGAAATTGCATATATGAAGCATTTAGCCTAGTGTAGGCTAAAAAATGTCGTCTTGGTCACTCACTATTCTTATCACTTTTATCTTCCTTCCTCCTGCCTTCTCAAAGTCTGGGAGGTAAAGCTACCTTACACCTGGACGCTAGGACCTGACATTCAGGAGGAAAGTGCAGAAAGTTCTACAACACTGACTATGGGCCTAGTGTTATTGTAAGCACTTCGTGTAGATTAATGCACATTTAATCATGTTCCCCAGGAGGCCGGTGCTGTTAACATCCCCATCTCACATAACCGAAGCTCAGAGAGGCAAGTCGACTTGCCTGTGGTCAAACAGCTTGTAAGTGGCAGAGCCAGGACTCAAGCTGGGGTTCTAATCCACTGGCCCTTCTTGCAGGTTGAGGAGCGGTTCTCTCGGGTGCCAGAGCCAGTCCAAAAGCGCATTGTGTTCTGGTCATTTCCACGCAGCGAACGGGAGATATGTATGTACTCGTCGCTGGGCTACCAGCCCCCAGAAGGCGAGCATGATGCCCGGGTGCCTTTCACCCGTGGGTTGCACTTGCTGCAGAGTGGGGCTGTTGACCGCGTGCTCCAAGTAGGTGAGTGTGTGTCCCCACCCCTGCCAGGGAGGCCAGGAGACCCAGAGCAGGCTTGGAGGAAGGCCTGGCCAGGGGAAGGTTCTAGATCCCTGGGGAGGGTTGGACAAGATATTGTGAGCTAAAGAACAGGGGTCTGCCTAGACCTCAGGCTTAGATGGTGGATTAGGGGGAGTGGGGGGACGGATGGTTTCTTAGCTCAGACAACTTAGTTGGAGAGTGGGGAAGAGGTGGTGAGACAGGGAGGAAGACGGGACCAAGGCAGCATCGAGGAACAGTTGTAAACCGGAAATTAGAGGAGGTTCCAGACCTCAGGCAGAGAGACCCAGTGATGCGTTGGAGCTGAGGTTTAGGGCTAGAGGTAGGAATGATCCTAGACCTCAGGCAGAGAGACTTAAGTGGAGGTTGGGATCAGAGATTTAGGGATAGTCTCAGACCTAAGGCAATGAGCATTGGGTGAGAGTCTAGGGTAGAAGTTTAGGACCAGCTGTGAGGAGTGGTCTTAGACCTCAGGGAGCAACATCCAGGAAAGGGGAGGGGCTGAGGTTTAAAGCTAGAGGTGAAAGATAATTCTAGACCTCAGGCAGTGGGGCTCAGAAGGGGTCCAGCAGAAGCTGAGCCAGAAAACAGGTGAGCTCTGGAACACCACACCTCCATGGGGGCAGGTCACATCCCCCAGCTGGAGGCAGGGGCTTGGCCTCCCTGAACCCTGTCAGCCTGGGGGGAGGGAAGGGGAGGGGCTGAGGTTTAAAGCTAGAGGTGAAAGATAATTCTAGACCTCAGGCAGTGGGGCTCAGAAGGGGTCCAGCAGAAGCTGAGCCAGAAAACAGGTGAGCTCTGGAACACCACACCTCCATGGGGGCAGGTCACATCCCCCAGCTGGAGGCAGGGGCTTGGCCTCCCTGAACCCTGTCAGCCTGGGGGCCCCGTTGCCTGGACATGGCCCAGCTGGCCACAGGCTCGGCCACCTCCAGCCGGTATGAGGAAGCCACTGTCTCCCCGCATGACGCAGCATGGGCTGGCTGGGGCCTGAGCTGCCCAACCAGTTGGATGAGCCTGGCATCTGGGCTCCCCAGGGGCCAGGGAGGGGCAAGGGGTGATGGGGTAACTTGGCCTCTGGCCTACCACATCAGCCCCTCACCTCCAAGTGTTACAGGCCTTTGGCATGTTCCCATAAAGTTAGAGGGCATCCAGACCCTGGGCTGTATCCATGGTAACTCAAGGGCTGAGAAAACCATCTTTAACATCATTTTAATATTATTCATACTTTTGTTTATTTAGGACTTACTGTATACCAACAGTGTTCTAAGCCCTTGCAAACTATTAACCCATTTAATCCTCATTACAAACATATGAGGAGGATGTTACTGTTTATTCCCATTTGACAGATAGGGAACTGAGGCACAGAGAGGGTAAGTGATTTGTACTAGGTTACTCAGCTGGCATTTGCACCCGAGTCTGGCTGTACACCGTGGACGAGTACCGCCGTCCCTGGGGTGATACAGCAGCGATGGTTTGGTTTTTGTTTTAGGGTTTCATCTGAGCGGTAACATCCGGGAACCAGGAGGCCCTGGAGAGCCCGAGCGCCTCTACCATGTCTCCATCAGCTTTGACCGCTGCAAGATCACATCTGTGAGCTGTGGTTGTGACAATAGAGACCTCTTCTACTGTGCCCACGTGGTGGCCCTGTCGCTGTACAGAATTCGACATGCCCGCCAGGTAGAGCTGCGGCTGCCCATCTCTGAGACACTCTCCCAGATGAACCGGGACCAGCTGCAGAAGTTCGTGCAGTACCTCATCAGCGCACACCACACCGAGGTGCTGCCCACTGCCCAGCGCTTGGCAGACGAGATCCTCCTCCTGGGCTCCGAGATCAATCTGGTGCACGGTGAGGGTGCCCAGGGGTCCGATGGGGGCAATGAGGCCCCAGCGCACAGCCACATCACTTGTTGTGGAACCGGCAATTGTCTTGGAATTCTTGGGTCCCCTTGACCCATGAGCAGGGGTGGGGGCAGTACCATCACCTAAGGTCAAGGTCCCACACCTACTAGGTGGAAGATCCTGAATGGCCATGGGCGGATGAATGGTGGAAATCAGCCAGTGGGGAGAATGAGAGTTGACGGAACAGTAGGAAGTCAGGCCCCAGGGCCAAGGATGTCCCAAGATCCCAGGGACAGACCTGCTTGTGTGGGTAGAGGGCATGAAAAGCATGTGGGTGTCAGGAGTGGGTGCTGGTGGGAGATAGACTAGGAGGTGTTATGAGCTCTGGGAAGGTTTGGGGCTACAGTCGCCTAACTATAATGGTGGGGAGAATGGAGCAGGATGAGGGGTGGATAGATGGATGAGTAGTAGGTACAGACATGGATGGATAATTGAGGGTAAGGGTGGGTGGATACAGAAGGTGTTCAGGATAGGGAGCTGAGTGAACTGATGGTGCGGAATACCAGATGGGGTGAGTGGATGGGTGATTAACTAGGATGGTAGGTAAATGGGGAATTGGTGGCAATTGAAGGTGGGGGTGGGTAAGATGGGCTGTAACTGAAGGGGCTGAGGTACATTGATGGTGGTGGACAGATGGGGTTGGTAGAAAACTGGAAGGACCAATGGGTACATGGATTGGGGATGAGTTGGTGGGTGCATGGAATGTTTGTATGTGTGGACTGACATGGTGGACGGATTAAGTGGGTGAATGTTTTGTGTAGGACAGATGGGTGAACTAATGGGGTGGTAAGTGTTTTGGGAGACATGAATGGATGGTTTGATGAGGGAAGTATAGATAGAAAGTTGAGGTTAGTTGGGTGGATGGATAGTGCAGTTGTGTGGATCAACAGATGAATAGATTGGTGGGTATTTTGAGTGGTTGGTACAAATGAATTGAAAAACAAATGGGGGTGGGTAGTTAGATGGAGGGGAAGTATAGATAGAAAGTTGAGGTTACTTGGGTGGATGGATAGTGCAGTTGTGTGGATCAACGGATGAATAGATTGGGTATCTTGAGTGGTTGGTACAAATAAATTGAAAAACAAATGGGGGTGGGTAGTTAGATGGATGAATCAGTGGCATGGGTATAATAGGTGAGCAGATCGAAGTTAGGGCAGGTGATGAACTAATGGGATAGGTAAGTATGCTACGAGTTATGGATGTGTGGATGGGTAGATGCATGGCATGACATGGGGAGTAAATAGACAGTCGAGTGGTCTGGTTGGTTGGGTGGGTGATGTTTTGGGTGGCATGGATGTATGAGTAGAAGGACAGGTGATGTTTCAGGTGGGATGGATGATCTAATTAGATAGGGCAGGTGATGAACTAGTGGGATAGGTAAGTATGCTACGAGTTATGGATGTGTGGATGGGTAGATGCATGGCATGACATGGGGAGTAAATAGACAGTCGAGTGGTCTGGTTGGTTGGGTGGGTGATGTTTTGGGTGGCATGGATGTATGAGTAGAAGGACAGGTGATGTTTCAGGTGGGATGGATGATCTAGTGATGTTTTGAACAAGTTGAATAGTTGGGTTAATGAATGGGTAGGTGGCATTTTGCATGAGATGGATGGATGGATGGATGGATGGGTGAATGGACAGATTGGTGGGTGGTTTCTCAGGTAAGATAGCTGAATGAGTGAATGAGCTAGTGATGTTTTGGGTGGGAAGGATGGATAGATGGATAGATAGGTAAGTGACATTTTAAATGGGACGATGGTCAGACGGATGGTGGATGGATACGTGGTTTTTCATAGATGGATGATGGATGGAACTTTGGGATGGGTCGAGTGGTTTGGAGGACCGAATGATGGCAGGGGCGGAGGCCCCCTCTCCCCAACTACAGTCTCAGCTTTTCCTCACTCCCTACAGGTGCCCCAGACCCCACAGCGGGTGCAGGCATTGAGGACGCCAACTGTTGGCACCTGGACGAGGAGCAGATCCAGGAGCAGGTGAAGCAGCTGCTGTCCAATGGCGGCTACTACGGTGCCAGCCAGCAGCTGCGCTCCATGTTTTGCAAGGTGCTGCACGGGCATAGCATACACAGCGGGGCATGCACAGCAGGGCTGCGGTGGGGCTGAAAGGCCCTGGTGCCGGCGCCCTGCCACATCCTCATCACCCCAATCGCACACAGGTACGGGAGATGCTGCGGATGCGGGACTCCAATGGGGCACGCATGCTGATCCTCATGACCGAGCAGTTTCTGCAGGACCCACGCCTGGCCCTGTGGCGGCAGCAGGGCGCTGGCATGACAGACAAGTGCCGGCAGCTGTGGGATGAGCTGGGTAAGGCCCAGGCCTGGAGATGGGCGGGCACCAGGGTTCCAGCATCCAGTCTTGTCCTCCCTGAGATTAGGGTCTGGCCCCTGAGTCCTTCTTCCATTCATTAGCACCTCCAGTACGAGGCATTCACTGTCCAGATTGCTGGAGCTACAGCAAGAAACAGATTTAAATATATGCTCTCGTGGAGTTGACACCTGGTAAGGGACACAGATAAGAAAATACTACAAACCCATCAGACCAGGGGTTGACACACCTTTTCCACAGGAACCAGATAGTCAAATAGTTTCGGCTTCGCAGGCCATTTGGTCTCTGTCATGACTCCTCAGTTTTGCCCGTTGCAGCGGAAAAGCAGCCATAGACACATGTAACTGAATGGATGTGGCAGTATACCCATAGAATTACTTACAGACATTATTTATTTATTTGACGTTCATAAAATGTTCACAAGTCACAAAATATTCTTATTTCCCCCCCACCCCATTCAAAATGTAAAAATAAATCTTAGCTGGCAGGCAGTTCAAAAAGAGGGTGGATTTTCACCAGGGGCTGACCTCTGTGATAGATGGTGATGAGCACGATGGGTTAAAAAAAGACGAGTTTGGCGGCCTGGCTTTGAATTCTGCTTCTGACTTCTCAGCTGTGTGACCTTGAGGCAGTAACTTCACCTCTCTATGCCTCAGTTTTCTTACCTGTAAAGCGAAGAGACCATTAGTTGTAACCTCAGAGGCCCAAGGTGAGGGTGAAGCAGAGGGTAGTGCCCAGCAGTGGTAGTCACACCAGACAGGTATGCTGCTACTATTGACATTTGACATAAATGTTGACTCGTCTCCATGCCAACGTTCACTGCCCTCCCTCCCTCCTCAGGGGCCCTGTGGGTGTGCGTTGTCCTGAGCCCCCACTGCAAACCAGAGGAGCAGGCAAGCTGGCTCCAGCTGCTTGACAAGTGGGACAAGCTGGACGTGTGCCCACTGGAAGAAGGCAACTACTCTTTTGACGGGCCCAGCCTGCAGCCCACCATGGCCCTCAGCCCAGGTAAGAAAGGGATCCCTGCCATCCCCCCAAAAAGCATCACTTCTGCTGGTGGCCCAATCTCCCCATCATGGTGCTCTGGGGGAGAGCAAAGGGGGCCCCAGCCCTTGCCTGTCCTCCTGACCAGGAGGGAGCGAGTGCCCAGGGCAGGGCAGTGGGCGGCCCAAGAGACAATGAAGCGAAATGCTTAAGACACCTGTAGTTCTGAGCTGGTCTCCTGACTCAGCCTTCTCTTGGCAATGGAGGCACGGGTAGGGGGAACAGAGAGAAAGAAAAAGAAAGATATTGAGAAGAGAGAGGCAGAAATAGAAGGAAAGAAACAGGAGAAGAGAAGGAAGAAGGGGGACTAGGGAGAGAGATAAAGAGGAAAAAAGGAATAGAATGTGGGGCGGAGGAGAACGGACAGACAGTTATTGTCTACCTGTAGGAGGGGCTATAGTAGCTCACCCAACACACGCTCACATTCACATGAACCTTTAAAAGCTGCTGTAAGGATTTGGGGAAATGATGTATGTCCATCAATACACCCAGAGTCTAGCCCCAAGCCAGCACTCAGTGCGGGGAACTGGCCATGAACCAACTGCTAGGCCGGGTTGGACACCTCTCCCACAGGCCCGGAGGAGGAGGAGGTGGTGGCTGCAAGTTCCCGCCACACCGTGTTTGGCCGAGCCCTACAGGCTGGGTTGCTGCATTGGAGTGACGCTCACCTGCAGAGGATCCTGGCCAGTGACTGCTATGGCCCCAGCCTCACAGGCCACATGGGCAGCGACAAGCTGACGTTCGACCCCCAGGGCCGCCCCCTCTGGCTTGGGGAGCCATTCCCCACTGCTTGTGCCCGTGTGGACACCCTGCGTGCTCATGGATACCCCCGCCAGGCCTTGAGGCTAGCAGGTGCCATAATCAACACACTTCGGCTACAGCGGCGGCACCAGCTTGAGAGCTACAAGCAACAGAAAAAAGGTGGGCACTAATGTTATCATTGGGTCCTGGGAGCTGCAGGTGTAGATGCCAACTACTGGGGGCTATGACAACCCAAGCAGTCTGTGGGTACCACTTGGGGTCCCATCAGGAAAACCGAACCACTCTAGGTGTCTTGAGCAGAAAAGAATTTAATACAGGGGATTGAGGCTCACAAAACCATTGGAAGTGCTGCAGGATTGAAAGTCATAGAAGCCACTGCTTGAGTTCAAGAACTTGAACTTCAGAAGCACAGTAAGCACAGCAGCCTGCAGCCTCCACTGGGGTAGTTCTCAAAAGGACAGATAGAAGGAACAGCGTGGACAGGCGCCCAGAGGCAAGAGAGAACACAGCTCGTGGGAGATTGGAGGATGGACTGCCACGTGGGGTGGGTGGGTGACTACCATGGGGCCCTGAAAGCTGGTCGGGCTTGAGCGATTTGGGCGGGATTAAAGGTTTTGAAGAGGGAATGATACTGTTTGGATGTTTTAGAAAGCGCCCAGTTTCCTCTGGGTGTCCTGCCAGGCCTGGGTGCGGCTGTGGGACAGGAGGCTAGGGCTGTAGAGGGGAGAAGATGGCCACCCGGGGGGCAGGTGGTGGGCTAGGGGTTCAGGGAGAGGAAGTCCCCTCTAGGGGCTTGGGAGGGTGGTTGGGCATTGAGCTCCACTTCCCACCTGCAGAGCTGCTACAGAAGGGCTCTACCTGCATCACCAACATGGAAGGATGGGTGGGCCACCCCTTGGACCCCATTGGCTGCCTCTGTAGGGCTCTCCTGGAGGCCTGTCGCCTGGAGGAGGAGACCCTCGCCCTTTATCCAGGTACAAACACTGGGGACCCCATGAGGAGCTGGGGTGATCCCCACCCCCTTGGCCAAGCCCCCTGACTTAGTACCCCTAGAAAATGAGGCTCTACCTTTACTCTTGCCACCGCCTTCCTCCCCACCACCCCTGCCAATGCCAGGAGCCAATAGGCTTAGCTTCTGAAAGTGAGGCCTCCGTAAGTCTATCTGCTACTTGAAGATGGGCCCCACCCCCTGGTCAGTGCTGGGAGTAGCTGGACTCCCTGTATACCCCAACCTCCCAGTCTCCATGCTTGGGGTCAAGGGCCATTAGGGTCCCGGAAATGGAGGTCCCCCTCCAGGATCTTTGGTGCCGGTCTCCCACAGACTCAGGCTCCGAGAAGCGGAAGGCGGCCTACCAGCACGTGCTGGTGCCTGGGAGCCCTGGGGAGTCCTACTTGGCGCTGGCGCTGGAGGTGGCACTTCTGGGCCTGGGACAGCAGCGGGCCCTGCCCGAGGGGTTGTATGCCCAGGACAAAGTGGTGCGGAATGAGGAGCAGCTGCTGGCGCTGCTGGAAGAGGTGGAGCTGGACGAGCGGCTTGTGCAGGTGATGCGCAAGCAGGCAGGGCTGCTTTTGGAAGGTGAGCTCCCTCCCCTAGGCCTGGGTGTTCTTGAAAATAGGGTCCTACCCCTGGTTTAAGTTAGACTGGTTGCCGCTGTATTCGGAGGCTCCGCCCCCAACCCTCCCTTTCAGTCTTTACCTTAGCATTTCCTAAAAGGTGAGATCCAGCCTTTTGTCCCGCCCCCTAGCAAATTCTGGTGGCCAATAACAGCTGCGAGTGCTTAGGCCCCTCCCCCTGCTTACCTGGAAACCAATGAGCCTAGTCGTTGAGGCCCAGCTGTACTTTATTGGCTCTGCCCGTGGTCCTTTTTGAGGCCCAGCTCTCTACTGCAGCCGGGAGCCAGCTTGGCCCCGCCCCTAATCAGGTGCAGCCCCCACCTCCATGACCTCACCCTGCAGCTGAGTCCTGCCCCCGACCCAGTGGTAACCAGGGGCTCCTCGTTGTGAATTTACAGAGTTTTTCTGTCTCAGCCCTGTTCCCCCAAGGCCGGGACCTCTTCAGCCCTAGTCCCAGCCACTCTATCCTAGGGTCTGCCCATCCCCCACTCAGCCTGGGTTCTGGGAAGATCTGGGGAGGGGAAGAAACACAGAAGCAAGCCCACACCTGGGGGCTGAGCTCAGGCTGACCCTGCAGGGGGTCCCTTCAGCGGCTTCGGTGAGGTGCTGTTCCGGGAGAGCGTGCCCATGCACACCTGTGCCCGTTACCTGTTCACCGCACTGCTGCCCCACGACCCCGACCTGGCCTACCGCCTAGCATTGCGAGCCATGAGGTGAGGACAGGCAGATAGCTGGGGACTCCTCTCAGTCAGGATTGGGGGGTGGGAGGTATGCTCACAACACCATCCTCCCGCCAGAACTCACAGCTGGTTAATTTAATTCCTGTGCTGGCCTTCCCGGCTGCCCTGTGCTCTTGATTATTAAATATAAATGTGTAATTTCTCTAGCATTCTTGGTCCTATTGAAACATTTTAGTATACAAAAATACTGCAGTGTTAATACCCAAGTGAAAACCCATCCTGTGTATGCTCATCATTATGATCAGTGATACAGTTTTGAAAAATAAACTATCATGCCCTTCAAAAAAACATATACGTATGAATGTGTAATATTATTTTGAATTTGAGAGACATCTACGTGGCACAGAAGTCAGAGTATTTTCTTAGGCTGGTTTGTCCCAACCTACCAAATCTCTCTTGGGGCAAGCAGTGTTCTCACTTTCTTATCTATCCTGCAAGAGTCGAGATTTCTGCAAACCTATAATCTGGAAATTGAAAGTCGGTCTTCCTTTTACATAGATGATACATCAATACCTATTCTTTGCACCTTGTTTTCATTTGTACCTTGTATCTTAAAGGCTTGGTTGTATTACATGGTACACAAACCACTGTAAGGATGCATTATAAAAGAACCAATCTGGAGCCGTTGCAAACACACACACACACACACACACACACACACACACACACACCTTACAATAAAATACCTTATTTCCCACAGTACACCAGCAGATTGAAGAAGCAGAATTTTTTAAGGCCCTCTCAGGATACAAATAATCCCATCATCTCTATCAGCCACATGGCCTTTGGTGCACAAATAGAGCATCTTGATGGGCATAAACAACACTGCAGCCTACGGCCATGCCACCCTGAACAAACCCGATCTTGTCTGATCTCGGAAGCTAAGCAGGGTCAGGCCTGGTTAGTACTTGGATAGGAGACCACCTAGGAAGACTAAGTGCTTTAGGTGTAAAAGAAAAAAACAAACTGCAGTGAACATCTTGCATACATGTTGTCTTCCGTTTTTCTAGGTCCTCAGGCTGTGCTGGCCCAAGGGGAGGCATTGACTGAGGCAGGAAACGTCTCTCTCCTAGGGAGGATGGAGACTCCAGCCTCACCTCACTGTGGGTTTGCTTCTTCCTACACCCCAGGCTGCCTGTACTGGAGACAGTGCTTCCAGCTGGAGAGCCTCACTCCAACCCATTGGACTCCGTCATGAGTAACCACTTCCCCCGCTGGTTCATCCTGGGCCATCTGGAGACCCGCCAGTGTGAGCTGGCCTCCGCCATGCTGACTGCTGCCAAGGGTGAGGATGGTACTGCCCCCGTCCCCCAGTCCTCCTCCTCTGCCTTCTCCCTCCTTTCCTTTGTCTCCCTCCTTTTGTCCTTTTACTAAATTCTACCAGTTTTCCTGGAGCACTTTCTAGATGGACCAGGCACTGTGGTAGGTCTTAAGGATGCCGCAGTAGACAAAACTGACCCAAGTCCTGTGGTGTTACATTCTAGTGGGGGCAGACAGACAATAAATAAGGTAAGAGAGATAGTTATGTGGTAAGTGAGAAGGTTACAAGTGCAATGAAGGGGGATAAATCAGGTTGACATTTCAGCCAAGACGTGAAAGTGCAGACAGCCGTGCCAACATCTGGTGTCTTAGCTCGAGCTGCCATCACAAAATGCCACAGATTGGGTGGCTTAAACAACAGAAATTTATTTTCTCATAGTACTAGAGGCTGGAAGTCCAAGATCAGGGTGCCAGCATGGTCCGTTCCTAGTGAGGGCTCTCTTCTGGTGTTCAGACAACTGCCTTCTCACTGTGTCCTCACATGGCAGAGAAAGAGAGAGCTCGGGTCTCTACTTAGAAGGGCACTAAACCCATCATGGGGGCCCCACCCTCGTGACCTCCACTAAACCTAATTGCCTCCCAAAGGCCCCACCTCCAGATACCATCACGTTGAGAGTTAGGGCTTTAACATAGAATTTGGAGGAATACAGTTAAGTCCTTAGCATCTGAGAAGAGTATTCCAGGTAGAGGGAACAGCCAGTGCAAAGGCCCTGAGGCTGGACTGTGCCTAGTTGTTTGAGGAACAGAGTAGGCTGATGTGGCTGGATAGGAGTGATGGAGAATTGTAGGATCTGGGCCAGTGATAATAGTGACAATAGCTAACATTTGTGTAGCTTTTGCCACGTTAGGCCTTTACAAGTATGGGCTCACCACGGCCCTGCGAGGCAGACACCACTGTATTAGTATTACCCATTGCACAGATGGGGCAGCCAAGGCAGAGAGTTAAAGTGACTTGCTCAGGGTCAAACAGCTAGTGAGTGACAAGGTGGGGATTTGAACCCTGGCATTCTGGCTCCCCATGCCCTTGACTGTTAGGCGTCCAGTGGGTCCCTACGTGGCTTCCTCCCACTGGAAGTGAACCAGTTGAGAGTGCTGAGTGTTCTAGATCTTCCCAGAATCATTGCCAGGTGCATGTCCCTCTGCACACAGACCTGTGCACCTGTGTGGAGGAACCTGCATGAACAGGTCAGGCAGTGACAGGGGCTGGTGCCTGATGTGCCAGTGGTGCCTCTGTTCCTCCCCCACTCCAGGAGACCCCAAGTGGCTGCATGCAGTATTGGGCTCCATCCAGCAGAATATCCACTCTCCAGCCCTGCTCTTCAAGCTGGCGCAGGATGCCTGCAAGACGGCCACCCCAGCCAGCGCACCACCAGACACCACCCTGCTGGGCATTGCGCTGGAGCTGGGCCTGCAGGTGGGGGCCCCCAGGAGGATGGGAGAGGGCAATGCCGCCTGTGGGCGGGGCCTGAGAGTGAGTGAGACCTCTGAGGCAGGGGCACAGAGCAGCAGAGTCAGTAAGTCCTGAGAGTGAGCAAATGAGGTTATCACTGGGTGTGAGTCTGTGAATGAGGGACTCAGTGGCAGAGTCTGAAAGTGAGAATCTGGGGGTGTGGCTGAGGACAGGGAGGAGGGTCATGGAGCCTGCAGGTGAAAGAGTGGGCCACAAGAGGGAGCAGGACCTAGGGCTTCTGGCCTTGGAAATGGGGCCTGGGGCTGGTGGACTTACAGTTTAGGACTACAGGCAGGCAGAGTCAAATCTGGTGGGGTGGGGCAAAGCCTGCCAATAAGGAGCTTATTTGGAGGCAGGGCCTGTAGGGGAATCCAGCCTAGAGGGACCAGTCGCTGTTGAGGGGCGGGCTTGGGGAGACAGTCTTGAAGGTGATGAGCCACCTCTGGGGGGTGGGGGAGGTCTGTGGTTGAAAGTCTTGGGGGCGGGTCCTGTGTGTGAGTGTCCAGTCTTGCCAGGGCAAGGCAGAGATCCTCCTGCATGGGTTCAGCCTGTAGTTGAGGAGCCAGCTGTAGGGTGTGGCATGTGGAAGGGGCAGGGCTTCAGAGGGCAGCCCAAGTGAAATATGAGGATAAAGAACAGCCTGGGGCTGGCTTGCTGGGTGGGGTGGGTCCCTCACAGGTAGAACTAGTAAGCAGGGGCCCTCGGGCAGAATTAGCCAAAACACAGTCATTAGCACACTGTGTCCCTCCAACTTCCTGTGGTGGGTGGAGCCATTAGAGGAATGTTGGGGGGAGGGTGGCGGGACAAGAGCAGAGGTTTGAAGAGGAGACCCTCTGCTTAGGAGCTTCCAGAAGGCAAGATCCACCAGATAGGACTGGGGAAGGGTCCTGGGGTAGAGGCAAGCGAGGATGCTGCTTATAGAGGTGGGGCGTCTAGGGCAGGTGTTCTGTTGGGGGCTACAGAGGGGAATCTGCTGACATGAAGCGTAGAAGTTTCTGGAGAGAAGGGACAGATTGGCTTATTATTTAAAGTAGGATCCACAGAGCCTCAGAATAACACCAACTACGGCAGTAATACTAATGGCTGATGTTATCTGAGCACTTT